TTTTACCATCCTACTCAGTAACACTGACTGCAGGGCCCAGCCTCAAATTTTGTTTGAAATTAAAGAAAATCCACTTTGCTGAGGGGAAATGTAACAGATTCCCCTCTTGCTTCTGGGCTTCCCACTTTTGCTTAGCAAAGCAGGAATATGAAATAAATTGCACATGCTAATGTAAGGCTGTCCTAGRATCAGGCCTTCTCACAAACATTCTCAGCACCTTTGTTGCACAAAATCATGTAACTTTTAGTAATCATATTCACTGATGAACAAAATTAACATTTTTGAAGAACTACTCATATTTAGGGTTTCTGCCCCTCTTCAGTCCCCCTCCCTCACAAAAAGTTAAGGTAAGCATGTCACTCAGTGTAACTATGACACTCCTATCACTGTGAACTTAGTGGAAATCCAAGTCCCCTAAGGCCACATAAGGTCAAAGTTAACATCATCACCATGCATGCTGCTTCAGCGGCAAGCTCCAGAATGTTCAATCCAAGCCCACAAATCCATGCTTGCATCCCTCTACTCTGCAGCACAGGCTTCCCCTCCACGCATCAGGCTCACCACGTGCTTACATTCTGACCCCCAGGAGAAGTTGCCAACATCCAACCGAAGGGCYCGGTACTTCTTATTTCCTCCACGAACCCTCACAGTATGAATCCGGCGTGGGCCAATCTGCAGGCAGAAACAAACATCAATAGTGCTGAACGCTGCATGGCTCTCACAGGAGCCCAGCACAGTCCTAACCTCGAAGGCAATGTGGTCAGTGTAACTATGACAAACCCCAGCATCGGCGGATGCAATAATTGACCAGAACGGTCTGTTGCATCTACCTAAGGTGAAAGMTTCATCACTCCAATTGCCTCTTGCTGCAAAAATGTATCACTGCTTTCCATGGTGCAGGRGCAGGTACCATCTTTTACAGATGCACCCTCAGATATACAACCCCACACCAAACAGCAGGTATTTAAACCTYTAACAGCACAAGAGCAGCAACTCTTGTTGGAAACACGATTCTGACCACTTTCCCTCAATCACTAACCTTAGTGTTGGCGGGAGGTCGCCCCAACTCATACTTCCTCTTCTTATGGTAGGGCTTCCTCTTGCCCCCAGTCTTGCGACGCTTATGCCAGTTGTCCCTGGAGATACCTGAATGGAGAGCAGCAGCAYTGTCAGAGGGTGGCACGAGCCCACCTGGCTGCAGCAGCAGGGCACAGTTCTGAGTCCTCAGTTCTCCAAGGTTGGTATCCGCACAGTGCTCTCAGCCTTATGCAGCAGTTAGAGAAGCTTCATCATTGAAACTCAGATCTGCCTTGAACACATCCCCTCCAGCAGAGCGGTACAAAGCAGATAGACACGCTCTTCCATGTCCTTTGTGGGAAGCTGCCGCCCAACGTACCTCGTGTGCTGGGCACTCTCTGGAAAGCACCCGATGCTGATCTGACAGGCACACTACAGCAGTCATCCTATGCTACTGGCAGGATGTGGTAGGTCCGCTATAGGAAGGGACCCCCATCCCACCTGTCCGCTGAGCCCCTACGAGAGACACCCCAAATCAACTCAGCCTTTGGGTCCCCAACGTGGATCAGCTCTTCAGAACACRCCACCTCCTGCAGGGCCAACCTGCTCAGTGCTCCACAATGCCACCCCCACCCCTCCTGCTGGATCTACTCAATGCTATTCCACCTCACCCGCATCTGCTCATCTGCAGCAGACACCGRGAGCGAACCCAGTGCTCGGGATCTGCAGGAAATCAAACCACGGSGAGACGAGGCCGCCCGCCCGCATCATCCACCAGCCGCCATATTGGGCCCGCTCACCCTACCCCCGCCAGCGGCTCGGCACTATAGCAGCCACCCCCGATGGCGGACGGTGCAGGCCGGCAGCAGTCCCCGCTGCCTCCCGGTGAGGGCTCGGGGCGGATGCAGCGGCGAGGCCGGCGGATGGCAGCGGATGTCGGCAGACCCACGGTCCCTCCACTCACCCATGGTGCGGCACCGGCGCAAAGAGGCGGGGCGGAAGTTCGCGGGGCGGCTTGGCGGGCAAAGCTCTCGCGATGCGGTGACGTCACCACGCCGCTAGCGCGAAGCGCGCGCCGTTGCCTGGCGACGCGGGGACGCTGAGAGGGGGAAGCGGGCAAGGGCGGCGGCCCGCGGGAGCCCATCTGCCCGCCGGCCCGGCACGGACCGGCCATTGTAAGGGGGTCCGCTTGCCGCAGACCCCTCCTCCCTGCCCCGCGGGTCACCGCGCGAACGCYTTCGAGCAGGGCGCAAGACGCGGCGTCCCGAGACGCGGCCGAGAGAGCGCCACAGCCCTCCCGCACACGGGCTGCGGGTCCTAAGATCCTCATTATCATATCCACATTAGTATACTGATTTATTTGCATGCCCGCTGCGCACCGCTGGCTTCATTRGCATAGCCTTCATTATTATTCAGATTTGTTTCCCTACCCAGCATACATCGCGCGCCGGCGGCGTGGCACCGGTCCCGCTTTCCGCCGCTGCTCCCGGGTCTGCTGCGTTCGGGTGCGGGCTGGAAACACTTTAATCACTGCTACGGGAACAGGCTGGGGTGGTCTGAGAGAGAATTCAAATGCCTCCAAGTCGCCGTGTCCTAGGGTGGAATGGCTGTGGTGTAGTATTGCGCGGGAGCACTGTTCTGCATACTCTGGTTTCTCTTCAGATCGTATAAATCTTTCGCCTTTTACTAAAGATTTCCGTGGAGAGGAACAGGCACGAGTGTCAATGAATTTTTTGA